TCTGTGGCTTTTGAAGACTAGTGCAAAAATTGGTAGAGTTCGGCTCTTGGTGAACAGACATTTTGATTAGGTTTCATTGGATTCATGAGAGCTTTGGTAGAAAATACCTGGCTGAACTAATCTCATTCTTATTTAAATATGGCTATGTTCCCAAGGTAAAAAAAAAAAAAAAAAAAAAGTATGTTTCTAGAGGCAATTCACAAGAGATTGTTTAATGATTAACATTTATACTGTTAAGCCTATAGGTAAAAGTTCTCTGTGCCTACTGGATATCCCTTTCTTTTTTTGAATTAATGCATGCCAGCGTAGGTAAACAAGGTAGAAAAGGTATGCAGAACAGGGCTTCTGAAATTCTTTCCAATACCTTAGGGTCACATGCTTTGGAGGGGGAGGCTTAAGAGTAAAGCAGGTAGCAGCATTCTGCTCACATGCAAGGGGGGAATTTTTCTGGATTGTTTCCCCCCTGCACAGCTCAGTTGGATCCACCCCATCTTTGAACTTAGTGTTCCAGTTTCTTCTGTCACACCAAATTGGGCCCCATTCTCTTTTGTTTTTGGAATGTTATACTGCTGATGGACAGAAAGAATTCTGAGCCCCTGAACAAAATTTATTTCCAGCATTTTATTGAGTTGGAAGGAATAAAAAGAAAGTGAGATAAATAGGTTGAGATTTTGAAGAAGAAACCTATTTTCAAGAAGAGAGGTCAAGCCCTAGGCCCCTGCAATGTGGGGTGTCCCAGGGCTTGAGTCTTTTCTTTAACATCTACACGAAACCGCTGGGTGAGATCATCTGACAGCATGGAGTACAGTATTATCAGTACACTGATGATACCCAGCTATACATCTCCACCTCTAGCTAGACGGGTGATGCTGTTGCGGTGCTGACTGAGTGCCTGGAGGCTGTAAGGGTGTAGAATGGGAGGAACTGGTTTTGACTCAACTCTGACAACAGGCAGTGGCTTTGGGTTTTTGGCCCCCCAGGCTTGGGTGATATGTCATCTTTAAATCTAGATGGGGTGGTACTCCCCATGACTGAGCTAGTGTGCAATTTGGGGGTTCTCCTAGACTCATGGCTCGAGGAGTAGGTGGCAACTGTGGCAAGGGGGGCCTTTGCACAGATTCATTTTGTGCAGCAACTGCACCCATTCCTGGACCGGGAGGCCTTGCTGACAGTGCCTTGGTCACTGCTTGCTTGGATTACTGTGATGCACTCCACATGGGGCTGCCTTGAAGATTACCCAGAAATTACAACTGGTCCCCTAGGTTCGCCCACATTACACCCCTGTTGAGTGAGCTGCACTAGCTCCTAGCTTCCTTCCAGGTACAATTCAAAGTGCTAGTTATTATCTTTAAAGCCCTACATTGTATGGGACCAGGTTATTTCCAGGACCACCTCTCCCTGAGGACATCTGCCCACCCTACCAGAGTAGGTTAGCAAAATATGATTTAGAGTAGGCACACTCTGGGTCCCTTCCCTTAGATCCTGCCATCTTTTGGGACCAAGGAAGTGTGCCTGTTTGGCTGCAGCCCCTGCCCTATGGAACATACTTCCCACTGAGATCTGACAAGTCCCTACCCTCTTAACCTTCTGAAAAGCACTTAAGATCTAGCTTTTCCCCCAAGTGAGATTGGGATGGGAGGAGACTGTTGTAGATTGCACTGGAAAGTTTAGCTGTGGTGCCAGGTCTTTCGGTTTTACAGACAGTCCCCAGGTGAAGAAATTCCAACTTACGAACTCATACTTACGAACGGGCTGCCTATTACTAAAAACGTTTTCATGAACTGCTGAAGCTGCATGTTTCTAATATACAGCCTGTTTTCAGCACTTTTCAGCAGTTCATGAAAACATTGTGCGGTTCAGCAGTTCATTAGCTTGAGGAAGGAGAATGCCGTCTACCATTTTTAGTAATAGGTAGACCATTCATAAGTATGAGTTCCGACTTACATATACATTCGAATTAAAGACAGACTTGGGAACGGATCTCGTTCTTAACCTGAGGACTGCCTGTACTGCTTTTATTTCATTGTTGTATATACTGTTTTTATCCTTGGGTTGTGAGCCACCCAGAGATTGGTTTAAGATGGGTGGCCATATAAATGTTTTAAATAAATACATAAGTAAAATACATCATTAAACAATATACTTTTCAACTGTAATTTTTTATTTACTTTTATAGAACATGTTGACTGGCTATACAACAAATTACAACATTCTTCATATATAAGAATTCACTGACTTTAAAAGAATGTATGTGTGGATTGTAATACTGTAACACTGCAATTGATGGGCAGGCAATCTTTGAGTTGAGAGAATGGATTGAGATCAAAAAAGATTAAATGCATACAGCAATTAGGTTTTGTTTTTGTTTTGTTTTGCTACTGTTACTCCTTATGATCTTTTCAGATGACTGGCAAAGTCCAGAGCGCAGTAGGAAGTGCTCCGTAAACAAGCATGGTACCCTGATCTTACACAGTGAATTGAATGAAGCATTGCTGCCGGGTGGAATAAAGTGCTCTGATTGGATAGTTATGTTTCAGTTGGAGAATTAAGAACAAGAGGTATTTAATTTCCAGTGGAGAGGAACAAATGCATTACCCTTTTTTAAAGGGGGTAATAATAGGTCTTTGTTTTGAAAATGGTATAACCTTAAAGTGCTAAACAGATGCAACATAATTTCGTTTCCAGTTCAATTACTTAATTACATTTCTCTTTATCTTACCAAACAGTCTTCCTCCCGAAATAATGTTGTCCTTTGACCCTGCTGGCCTCCAGAGAGGCAGTCAAAATCTGGCTCTTTCTCTGGGCCTTTGGGTCAGGTTGATCTGGAGCACAATTAGCTGATGGTGTTATCGCTGTTTGGAAGCCATTTTATTGTATTGTTCTGTTATTGTCTATAAGTACACAGTATGTATTGTGGTTCTCTATTCTTTTTGTTAGGTCAAGAGTCACCTTGGTTGAACTGGATGGTCATATTAACATTTTAAATAAAGATAATACTAATACTAACAATATAAAAATATGTAATAATTTATTACATGTATAAGGCCACCAGACTCAGTATGGTAAACAGAATTCAAAACCTCATAAGTACACACAGCCAAATACAGAAACACACTGGGAGAATATATAAACAAGAAAATTCCAACCCTTCATCATCAGCCAAAAGAGATCACAAATTACCTTGGCCATCGAGCTGTTTGAAAAGACATTTTTAAAAAACATTCCTAAAGGACAGATGCGTCAGGCCAAATGGACCTTGGGGGATAAAGGGAATGGTATTCCAGAGGGCAGGAACAGAAATTATACGGTGATAGCATGGTGATCCCAGAATTTCATTATCTATAAACCCTAAACCAACTGGCTACATTTCATCTGTGCTGTTTCTGTATGAGCTTGAGCCAACACATTGTGACTGTTATCTTTAGCTGTAACATCATGTTCACTGTACCACTGAACATCTATGATTGTTAAGGATTATAGCATACTCAGGAGGAAAAAATGTAAGTGGCATATTGGAGAGTTCAGTCAACTATAATTAGCTTACTTTTTAAAATGGGACTGGCATGTCACAGGCAGAGAAGGAAAATGTTTATTTTAGGTTTCTATAGCTTTTCAAACAGTAAAATTCATCTGATTTGTTCTGGAACTACTAAGATCTTGGCAGCAATACATATGGCTAGCCCAAATAAAGTTATACAGCATAAGGCAAGAAGCAATCTCTAAATTATACATGGCTTCATAAGTTAATGCAGCAAGTTGGAATTATGTTTACAGGAAGAGGGAATACCAAGAATCTGTATAATGGTGCTGCAGTAGACATGACGATGAATGGTGGTTAGCTAAGCCTAAAGGTTTTGGGCAAATTTCCTGAAAGGTCAAGAAAAAAATTAACAGGTTATTGAATGAAGCTTAGTAGAGCTGTTTTAGAAAAATATGTAGCAATGTGCACTATTTATATACTAAATTACATACTGCCCCTCTCTGTAGGCAATGGTTATATAGCCATTGTAGCATTATTGTAATATTCTTTCAGCTATGAGCGTATCACTCTGGATCAGTTCATTGTTTACAGACCAGATGCTGATCTGTTAATTTTGAAAACCAGAACTGCATGATATCTGGACACTATTACATTTCCAGGATTAACTATTTCCCTTTTTCCACCTAAAATGAACATGAAAATATGCCAAATATAGTTCAATAACAAAGCTACGAAAGTAGAGCAACATGGAAAGTGTGGTAGAGCTAGCATTAAGAAAGGTCAAGGATGCTATGTCAAATGCTACCAACATTCCAGTGGCCTGTATTAAAAAGTGGGGTCTTCTTTTAGGTATGATTTTTTTTTTTCAATACAGGCAACACTGAGTAATTTTTAGCTAAGTTTTTGTCCAGGTGCTAACTTTAGCTATTAGTACAGAAGCATGTCTGTATCTGTCAATTAAGGAATACTCCATTCCATTTCATTTTGCTATACGTTTAGTTGACCTTATTTTTATGTGTCTTTCCCCCTAGTTACAACAGAGAATAGCATTCTCAAAGGTGATGACAGGATGAGCTGCCCAAGTATAAGTGCTCCATCAAATATTTCAATGAGCTGTGGAAGAGATGCATATGCTTTTGTGGTGCATGGAGTGAAATCATTTCTGTTCTCTTCTTTCGCCAGGAAGATATGAGTGGCTGGATGTTTGCATCTATAAATAGCTACTTTATGTCAGCTAGATGCCAATCTTTTTGAAGAGGGTCAGTCCCCAGTTTGTCTTGGTACTAGGCATCATGCAAACCCTAGAAGAAGCATAGAAACCTCCCAGGACTGGATAGGTCATCCCCATTCATAACAAATTCCATAAACCCTGCTCAAAGCATCAAGATCACTGTTTTCCCGAACAATAAGGTAAGTGAGTATATTGTTTCCTGAAATAAATGACATTGATTGTCCTATGAGTTTGAATGCTTCAGCTTGCAGCAATAAACAGGCAATTTACTGTAGAGAGGTACTGCAGCATTTCCAAGATGGTTCTCTATCTAGATTGTTGCTTAGTAGTAGGTGCTGATTCAAAGATTGATGTCTTCATTGATTTTTAGTGGCCCTGTAACAGAAACTGCAAATACTTTATTTTTTAAAGGTTGCAAACAGAAAAATAACATTGAAGTTAATTAAGGATATATTTATTGCATTGATGCAACAAATACAGACACTCACTCTTTTGTAACAACAACAACAAAGTTGCCCACATTACTCCGAAGATGAACATCTACAGAAGGAAGTTAAGAAGGCCAATCCTCACCTTGCACATAATTAGTTTAACAAAACCAAGCAACAGTTGATGCTCTGAGATGTATATGCAATGTGGTAGAATATGCCTCCTATATTGGTCAAGAAATGAGATTAAAATATAGCATTTGTAAACTGGATCCTTGATTAAAATGCAAGCTAAATGCACTTGACAATACTGAATTTGACTATCCTGTCTTTTCCTAGTAAGAAAATTTTTGCTGATCACGGCAATGCTCTCATATTCTGACTTGGTCAAAGAGAGAAAGCAGCAAGCATCAGCCATCATGAAGGAGATCCAGCAATATGGTACATAGTTAAATACCTACTATTATGGCTGGTGTCACGTCTAATCTTTCTTTTTAATCTTACAGCAATATGTCTCCTATGGCTTGGCCTCTGTGTATGTTGCCATAAATAATCTCATGCAGCTTTTGAGCTGCCTATGGTAATGAATCCTTTTGTAGTGTCTTCTTTTCCTTTGAAAGCTATTTTCAGATGAACAACTGTTGTGGAGGAATGAAGTAACCCAACAGCTGATGCCTATTCTGCCTAGAATTGACTTTTGGAATATTTTTTGAGGAGAGGGCTAATGTCTGGACACTGTATAATAGAATTCCTGGAAAAAAAATGTTTCCATCTTTGACTTGAAGCTATCTTTAAGAGTGGATATATATGTAATTTCAAAAAGCAGGATATATGCAATGTAAATTATCTTTCAGTCTCTACCTCATCCACTCAAAGATAGGTATAGTCATATCCAACCTTTCAAGATATACTTCCCAGATAATTTCTTTTAAGAAATATTTTGCAACAGAATCTCATGTTTGCCATCACTAGGATGGAATTCTGAAAGCCTTTGTTTGGTTGATCAAGACCAGCCTTCTTTCCCCACAAAGCAAAGAATTATATAACCTTCCACTGAACCTCAAAGAAATAATTCAAACATTACTCCTTCCCTCTGAAATTAAAAACCAGCCCTGAGATCTGATTTTGGAACTTTTTCTAATACATATCCACATGTGTTCAAGTAGAAGTGAATAGTACCTATCCATTCAAACTTAGAAAATTCCTTACCTTTCTTCAAGACAGCCCAACTTACTTTAGTTGTTAAAAACAAAACAAAAACTCCCAACTGCACTGCAAGTAAACTGAATGTTACAATCTGAAATTGTATAATTTATAAGCTGAAAATAGTTTATCAATATTATACTAATTATTGTAGCTTCCCCTAAAGAATTGTACTGATTTGTCATCTGCAAGCTATGAATTTTATTCTAGGGCTGCCAGTATCAGTTCTAGCTGCTAAAAAGATCTAGGGTCCATTCTAGATGTGATATAGAAAATCTGGAATCAAATCCCTTGATTCAATATAGTAAGGTAAAATTATCCTGGGAGTGTGATTTTCCACCTTCCCAAATTCTATATAATTTTACATTACGGTATTTTAATCCAAGAATTCCATTTACGCTTGTAAGGTTTAAGACAGGTGGATGGATATATTATAAATATTTCCCCTGCATCAGATATAATACATTATATGTTCATTATAATTTGATTTTATAAACAACACTCTTGCCCTGTTCATTTCATCTCATAGGTGAGTTTTTTAAGTTGATGAGAAAAATTATGTTTCATCACATCCACATTTTAATGCAAACTTTTATTTATTTTTAATATTTCAATTAAAATTATTGGCCAAGTTCACCCTGCCAATCTATTCAGTACAGAGCAGAAACACTACAATAGGCCTAGAAGGCAGACAAATCCATATACTTCCTATTAATGCTCTCTGGATACAAAATTGTTTTTAAGCCTAATGTAAGAACAATAGTGGCCATTTAATAGATTTTGGCCAAATTTTTACCCAGGAAACCAGTTTACCCAGAGTGAAATCAAGATGTAGTCATTTTATACATTTTGAATCGTGAGGAAAACAAGAATGCAAGACATATTAGTATCACTTATTCTCTTAGTATCATCTCTTAGTTGGAGTTCGCATGCAAACCCTGGTTAGGTCTGAGTGCATATTCTGCAAACTGAGGCTCATCATGATTTCTTATTATAAATCCTGAACATTCCTAAAGGGTTTATATTGTGCAATATAGTACACTATATTGGAGAATAGGCCAATCCATCACAGTATAGAAACTGCACATTTTTGCCTTAGAATATTAGACATGATAGTGAAATGAAATGCTTTTAAAAATTCATTCATTTCAATATCCATAACTACCCTTGTAGGAATGGGTGGATATTCAAATAGTCCACTATCCTGCTCCCCACAGTGATGAAACAGATGTCTCTGGAAACACACAACTGTCCTCTTACACAGTTGGCCCTAGGAACTAGTTATATACGTTTGAATATGAAGTTCCACAGAACACATAATTTCTATAGCCAGTGATGGACCTTTCCACCATGAAATTCTTGTATTTCCTATCCCTCAATCCCTGTCAGCATGGACATATGTGACTATAATCTCCATGCATATTAACAACAAAAACTTTTGATGTCACCTGCAAAGAATGGATTTCATGACTGTAGGAAGCAGTGTTGTTATTATTTTCCTTTCTCAGATCACAGATGCTGAGCCTTGCCATAATTATACTCTGTACATTTAGCATGATATATAATCTCAGCAAGTCTTATTTTCTCATCTATGTAAAGATAGTCTTTTGCACTGGAATTCATGTGAAAGTGATAAATCACCTTTATTAGTGGCAAAAATACTCTGCCATTGAAATGGACATATTGCCATATTAGTCATAGCAATGATTTAGGAGAATTCTCTTAGAAATGTGTTTTATTTTGTAGAATCCCCTCAAATGGATCTTGGAAAAAAGGTTAGCATCCCCAGAGATATCATGCTGGAAGAACTGTCACTACTCAGTAATCGAGGAGCAAGGCTATTCAAAATGCGGCAAAGGAGATCTGACAAATATACATATGAAAATCTTCATTTTTTATCTAGCAAACCAAGAAATGTGAGTACTTTATTTTTTGGTTGTAATGCAGCATGAGAGACCTAGGGAAAGTCATGAGTTCCCAAACTCAGTAAAGCTGATCAATTATGTACTTAATTTGCAAGCTGCCCAAATACTACTGAGTACCTGGTAAATTTCCAGATTTGATTTGATTTAGCTCTGAGGGTCAAAATGTAGATATGCTTTGGCTTAAAGATATCACTTACTTTGAAAGGATTGCCTATAGTTTTAGGACAATTTAATTCTAAATAGTGGTCAGCGGCAAAAAAGAGTGTTCCAACCGCAGAGAAAGAAAGCACTTTGGATGTGATTGGGAATGGGAGATAGAAGTAGCACCTGCTAAGGATTCACCATCACCAGACCTGGGGTTGGGACTGGGGAGAGAACAAGAGTACAGTTACTTGCCAAGTAAACATCTAGTTTGGCCCTTTGATCCCACAGTGAGTCCTTGGAACCCTGTAGATGAATCACAAAAATGCTAGCACGTCTTTCTGTATGCATTTGTGCTCATATATCAGGGAAGATCAGCATGGCTGATCTTTCTGTCTGAAGAAAAAAAATACCATTTTTCCCCTGTTACAAAATATTATTCTTTGCATACTTAGAAATTCAATCCCACTAAGCAGAAGCAAACACTGAAGCAAAATAACCACAAATGAGAAACAGATGCACTTTGTTTTCATAATAAACTGTAGATAGGCATATATCTCTGAACTTCTTTTCAAGCCTGTTCTAGGACCCAATTCTGTATTTTCCTGGGATAATCCCTAGAATCTAGCGTTTCCTTTTTTAATAGTAAATTTATTAAAAATTACAATTACAAAGATAAAAACTAATACAAACTAAAAAGAGTAAAAGAATAAAAAGGAAAAATAGAAAGTGCAGAAAAGAAGGAAAAAACAGATACATAGAAAAGGAAGGAAAAATAAGAATATAGTAAAGAAAATATATAAAGAAGTGACTTCCCCCTTCATCACAACAAGTATAAACGATTTCAGTAACTTAGCACCTTCTCTTAGAATACAACAAATGATCTCTTCTTCCCATATCCCATCTCTTATCTATAAACACATCCTTAAAACATTGTCATTTCATCCTGATCAGCAAAAGTCCATTAAGGGTTACCAGAGATAACAACAGATCTATGTTAACCTTGATCAAAGAAACCAACTTTATATTCCTTTCTTTTACTTTTAACAATCTTGATCTTTAGTCCCTTCAAATAATATCCTAAAACTTGATTTCTTTTCATGTTTTCTTTGTCCTTTCGCACAAAATTCTTCAAAGTTTTAACAAGTCTCTTTTGTAAATCCAGTATAGGAAAATTATCCAGGACACTCTCTTAGTTTGTTATTTGCACATCCCTTTTAATTATTAAGATATCAGCCGCTTTCTTTTATATGTCCAGTGTAGCAGCTTTTCCATATCATTCTTGTAGCCTGTTATTTTTAAATTCACTTTCAGATCAGTCTGTCTTGTCTGATAAAACTTGTTCCTCTTCTATAACATCTTTTAAACACAATCTGTCTATAGAGGCAGACACTCTTAATATTAACTTCTGGGTCCATTGTTCAAAAATATCCTTCAGTGTGTCCAATGTTAAAATATTTTGCTCCATTCTGTATTAGTAAGTAAAATTTAAGTGTTTTTCTAATAGTAATCATTAGTTACTTCTTTTCCCTCTAGTGTCCAACCTTCAAAGTCTCATCTTATTATGTTTTTTTTTAAGGAGAATTCAAAACAAAAGTATTTTCTCATGGGAAGGATCCTTATAATTAATTCCAAAATCTTATTTCAAATCCATCTAGACCCTTAGCCCATTTTTAACTTTCCAAAATCAAAGTTATAATTATCCTTTTGCTGTTCATTCCAAAAGAAAAAAAAAGAAAAAGCAGTTAACGAGCAATTTCTGAAAGTGATTAAAAAAGGAAGTATGTGAACCCAGTGTCCTTTTTAAAGGTGTCAACATGGTTTGAGCAAGATGGCTATTCCCTCATCTCCCAGAGCTCTAAACCTGCTGGAAATTGCTGTCTTGCGAGGAGCAACTTCCTGGAGCATTTGTGGGCAATCTCAAGTTCTTTCTTTTTCCAGAGAGTAATTACGAAGAGATGGTCTACACCGGCTCTTCATTCCTCTACGGCTGACCCAGAATAGAGATTTACCTGCTATTTTAAACTAAAGTTATTCATATTGAGATAAACAAAGGAATCAGAACAGAATCTAGAATTCCATTTCCTAAATCTATCAAGTGTATTACTGAGATCAATGGCATCAAATTGGCTTTGAACCATATTAAAGAATAATCTGGGTGATGCTGGAGTCAGGCAGCATATTATTATTAATAATAATTAGACAGCATACTGGACTCTCATGTTAATAAAATCCAATCAGTAAAGAAAGTTTCTGACATCTATAAAACATATCATATGCATATAGCAGAATTCTATAATCCCTTTGCAATCTCTTTAATATTTTCAGAATGTCAGAAGCAAGAAATTCTAAAACTAAATTCAAAATAAAGGGGGCATCTTTGATGTATGCCACGACACAACTTAAAAGAAAAAAGAAACTATTAAAGGTCATACACAATCAAGGGACTGACTAGAACATATATTTCCAAAATTCAGAACTCAGATGACAATTTAAGGGAAAAACAAAACAAAACAAAACTGTAGCCCTGACCATCTAAAATCATCTGACCTTGGTACAGAAGGAATCAAGAGAATGGGGGAACAGGGGATCATTCTGCAGTTGATTTCAATTATCTCCTGAGTTTAATGATGCTTATTCCAAAGTAATGACACATATGATTGCAATAATGCTAATCCTAATACAGTGGTGGTTGTGTGGTTGCCGCTGCTGAGTGTGTGTGCTTTGTATATACACACTTTCCCAGTGAGCTGCTGAACTTCAACATCTGCAATCATACCACTGAAGAAGCAAGATTAAATCTTTCACTGAAAGTTGAAAAGCATTATCAGATTTATGAGGAACGATCATCTCTCATAAATGACAAAAAATCAAATTATTCAGGACCTTCATACATTCTACATTTTCCTTACTTTTTAAAAATCTGATACCCATATCATAATAATTTGTCCTAGACTAGTAATTCCAAAGAATGACATAGTGGAACCTGCTTCAGCCTTTTTCTAGAGGATTCTTGTTTTCAAACTCTCTGTTGTTTCATGTTTCAATTTTTCCTTTATCCATGGAAAATTGTACTTTAACAGAGCCTGTACTTAACAATCTTTTCATTTCAATGTCATAGCTAAAATTAGCTTCTGACGTTTTAGAGAGCTCTAATTCTATGTTAACAAAACAGTGATTAAGGCTTGGGATGCACTGTTGGAACTAATGAGCCAGTAGAACGGGTGGATAATCCCAGCCTGTCTTTAATCTTCATGCAGTAGCCAGAACTAAGGTTATTATTATGATTGCCAATTGAGATAATGTTGGGAAAATTCTTTATGGATAAGATATAGAAATTCAGCAAGCAAAATCAATAGAAGTTTAAGTGTACTGATTTTTAAAACCAGATGTAAATCTCCAAATGCATTGGAAGTATAATTCCTGAAGGCTATGCTGGCTGGGAATACTGGAAACCCAACACATCTGCCCAGCAGCACACTGGGAAAGCTGTTTTAATACTTATGGAAGAGAGGAAAATTCAGCTGCTTTGTGTTTGTAGGGAAACAGACATTTTTAACACTCAGATTCTAATCTGAAAGCCAGCCTCCATCTTGGTTCCTAAAGACAACACAGTGACATTACCCCCACTTTGTTTCAATCATTCACAAATACTTTTTGTTTTCTATAAGGCTCTTTGGAAGATAACTAACAAACTTTTTTCAGTTCCCATAACTGTTAGGCACTTCCTTGCTTAGACCTTCTCATAAATGTGATGTGTGAGATGTCAAAATGAAATTTCCCAGTATCTTTTTCTTGTGCCAGAAGCAAACTTTGGGGACTAATTTTAGATCAGGACCTAAAAATATGAAAGTGGGGCAGTACATGTATGTTTTTGCTTTTATAGGAAGAGTTAACTTCAGGAGATCGATTTAGATCAGGTCCGTGGTGTATAGAAAACAGAGCTCCCATTCCCAAATAACCTGGCTGCAAATTAAATCAGACCACTTATCTGATTTAAATCAGACAGCTTTTAGCAGAATAGTATTTTAAGAATCTATGTATCCTTTGCATTATACTTAGTCTAGCCTTCAACTGTTAGAAAATTAAAATTCCCTTCGGTATATAACAGCTAAAGACTTCTGATCAGACTAGCGTGAATTGTCTAGAATCCAAATACCATGCTGAAACCACTGTGTGGTTCTCCCACTTCTAGTAGTGATCTTGATCTCCAGGAACTCCTTCTCTCTTCCCAAAACCAACTCCTGGTAGTTCCGAGTTATGGGTAGCAGCAGTCAGATTTCTCAGCTCTTTCTTGGGTAACTTCAAAATCAAGGGCACTGCAGCAACCTTGTGGTTTTTCTCTCTCTACAAAGAAGCTACTAAAATAAAGGCTATTGATTAGGCTTTTATGATATTTTATAACAAACTTGTTTGCTTAGAGCAGTAGAACCCTATTATTCTCAGCATGCCAGATAGTTTCCATTGTAGTTTTGAAAGCCAATTAAATCCCTGTGGCATCCCCCCACCCCACCCCCAGCATCCCTTAAGCAAGAATAGTAATTATCCAGTTTATCCAGATGCTATGCAGCTTATGAGTATTTGATACCCAGGTACCAGAGAAAAAAGGCAAAAATGGCCAGAAAGCAATTAAACTGAGCAGCTATGCTGTCTTTTTCCCAGTTAGGGAAAGCTGAATAGCCAGGACACACTAAGGCACCTTTCTTAATTAATATTTTCAGTTAATAGATGTGATTTTTATTTCTATTCAACTGTAGCGTAATGAGATCATACAGTTTGTCCAGTTGGATGCTCATGGCATGGAACCTAGCCATCTAAATGCACCAATGACACCTCCTAATACACCTGATCCAAGGGGTCCACCCAACCCTGAAACTATTGCCCCAGGTAAGCCATTGCACAGCTTTTGTACTAAACAACTTTAAAAAACAGCAAAGAATTGATAAAGTCCTTAAGGTAACATAGAACTAATCTTAAGTACCATTCCAAAAAGATGATGAAACATCTCTGTTCACATCAAAATAATGTAGATGAATCACGGTAGCTACTGTGAGGAGAGTGGAACTTTCATATCCAATGTTTAAGGATTATTCCACAGTTGAGATAAATAAAGCTCCCAGATTTTGTTTATAGGGGTAGTCCCACTAGCCTTTTCAGTAGTGTAATAACCAATACAGCCATATAATAGACAGAATTGCTAACCTAAAATGTAACTGTGTAGAAACACTCCAGATAGGGCATTTTACAGGGGAAATATTGTAAGTAAAACATTTGCACTGGCATTTAAACAAGCAAGTACAGTGCTAGAAACTCTGGGAAGAATTATAATTCAGCATGGAATACAAATCTTACATTTAACTTCCAGTGAATAAGATCAGGTAGTAAGTTATACTAATTACTATTAGTAAGTTGAAGTTTCTAACTCAATAAAAGACAGCTTCATATTGATTGGGTATGTCGAAACAAAGAAAAAGAGAATTTTACAGAATTATGTAAGTTTCTTGGCATTAGATGGGGAAGAGGAGGCAAGTTTTGTTGTCATTACTTTAGTACAATGAACTTATAGCCAGGCATATGTATTGTGATTCATACATTGCAACACTCATAAAGAAATCAGAACTGTAGAAATCCAGTATTGTTAGAATACATTACCCACTGAATATGCTGCCAGATCCTCAGGTTGAAGATGAGCAAGCGTGAAACTGATCCAAACCTGGATAGAAATCATCATAAATGTACTAACTGAACATACGAGGAAATGTATTTCCAAAAATATACATACAGATGAAACGGGTTGTATTCCCAAAAGGAAGCTAATGGACATTAGATTCCCAATAAATGCATTAGAATATATTAACAACAAGAAAAAGAAGGCAGTTGTAGTAATTTTTTGGATGCAGAAAAAGCCTTTGACAATTTGGAGTGGACTTTCTTGTTAGAGGTCCTCAGCAAAATGAATCCAGGAGAAGAATTTAAATCTTTGGTGGAGAACATATATCAATGGTAAACAACAAAGATTACAGCAGATGCAATACTCTCTTCAAGTTTGTTAATAAGTAAAGAAACGAGGCAAGGGTGTCTGCTCTCCACTTTACTACAGTATTTGTAATTGCTTTAGAAGTCTTGGCAGATAAGATCTGAAAAGACAAACAAATAACTGGGATCAAAATTCAAGGATAGGAATATAAAATGAAATGCTATGCAGATGATGTCATACTAACAATTATGCAACCACAAGCTCTATAAGGCAGTTGATGAAAACAAAGAAAGACTTGGCTGATTCTCTGGATACAAAATTAATGAAAAGAAAACAAAGATAATAACAAGTATCTAACTTTTGAAGAGGAAGCTTTTGTAAAAAAAAAAAAAAATAGACTAGCTATGAGATAACAAAAGATCCTGTGAAATATTTAGGATTTTACTTGATAGGATGTAACAAAGACATGTTTCAAAACAATTATAATAAATTATAAAAAGAAAACAAGACCTTGAGATATGGAAAACTGAAAATTTTCTTGGCTGGGACGTATTATGACAACAAAAATGAATGCACGCCTAAAATGAACTTTCTATTTCAAAAGCACCAATTCCAATCTCAAACAAAAGCTTGCAGGACTGGCAAAGCACCATCAACAGATTCATATGGACTGGGAAAAAACTGAGAGTAACATTCAAAATTTTGCAAGACTTAAAAGAAATAGGTGGACTTGCATTTCTAAACTTTAAATTATATTATCAAGTAAGCTGTCTCATGGATAACAGTACAGAGACAATCTCCAAATGGCAGAATATAAATTATAGGAGATGGCTTGGCCAAAGGTATTAACCGTACAAAGAAACAAAAGAAGAAGAGAATTTGAAGGGATATATTAACATTAACATATAAGCATTAGCAGAGAAAGTTTGTTAAACATTTGGAATCTTCTAAAAATAGGGATACATCTGGCAATTTCACCATTAGCATCATTGTCAAGTGCTTTTTTACTTCAAGGATAACTACAGTAATAAATATTTAATTACATATGCTACATCTAGATTCAGAAAACAGACTAAAGGCTTAGCAAGAATTGCTTAATGAAGAAAGAAATTTACCATAGTTAATGTATTTACAAATAACTAGAAGATAAAAAGGGACTTAAAGAAAGAAGGATGAACCTTGAGAAAGACAACAGAATTTGAAATGCAAGATCACACAGTCAAGATCATCTACTGGGAGGCATTTACAATTTGTTATTGAAACATGATACAGAGCTGGAACAAATTAAAAATTTCATGATAAGATAGATGTAAGATTTCAAAGAAGTAATTACAGTGGAATAATAAGAAGAGCTATAGAAAAAAATCAGTAAAATGGTTTACAGGTGGTATTTATTGTAGCATTTTATCATGTCATGCAAAAAACAAAAACAAAAAAACCAACCTCAAAAGTATTGGAAGGAAATGCATCGCAATATTCAGAAAATCTTAAAAATATATATATATTTTATTTTTAAGCATAAATGAAAAGTATGTATGATATAAGCTGACAATGGTAAAAAATAAACCTGGAACAACATTGGAAAAATGAAACTCTGCCGATGATACAGGATTGGTAGCCCAAAAGTGGTGAATGTGCAGCAGTGGCATATCTGACGGTATATATACATAACAGAAATACAGTATAACAACATTTAAGCAGGACTGGCTGCCTTATATATGATACAAAATACAGTAAGGCAGATTTAGATATTTGAAATACAGCTTCTAGGAAAGAGTCAAGAGACTAATTAAAAACAGCAGATGAAGTGACTTAACAAGATATAAGCAAAATTTTCCAATGTTTAATATTACATATTAAAGGCATAGCATAAATACTTAAATAGTAGTTAGTGGTTGGGGAAAAATAGTAGAAGGGAAGGGGAAAATATGCCACCAAATTCTCCTTTACAATATTTTTAATCTGTTATAGTTTGTATTCTGCCTTTTGTATTTTAATTCTTCACTCTTTTGGACTTTTTAAGTTTATGCAATATAATTTAAAAAAGAAATCAATGGAAATGCAGGATGTCAGTATAACAAAAGAGTAATTTGGCATTTCTATAGCACATAATGTTGATAATACTTATAACCATGCAGTTCTTACCAATAGGCATTGCTTATTTAAATTCATCTGGTAGATTTGTGACATGCTCTATGTCAGATTTAAATCCAAGATTCTAACTCCCCAGTTCATAATATAACTTTTTATACCTTATGCTACCTCAGCTCCTACCAGATAAAACGGAATGATAGCTCCGGAATTTCCAACCACTAGGAATACTGGCTAATAATTTTGGGAGATATGTTCCCAAAAATTTTAGATTTACAGAATACTTAGGACTTTATGTTTGCTTCTGAGGCTTCTAAAGCAAACATGACTTTGTTTTTTAAACATGTTTCTCAGTATTTTGTTGTGTAAGTCTTTCCCACATCTCTGATTCATAAATCTAGAATTAAATTATGCAAAACAAGCAGTGGATGCTCATTTGTTAACCCATAGAGTGAGCCTCACACTTACTGTATGCATTCATCTACTATGAAGTCTTCGCAGTAGCAATGGTTATTCTGTGTGGATAGGACACAATAATACTTTTGAATACAATATTATGCATATTATAAAGACAATACCTCCAAAACAGCAATGTGATTTCAGGAAAGAGTTCTGACTCTTCCCTTGTATATTTATTGTGGATTGTCTGGAAGGATTTAATTCAGATGGATATTTATTTTAAGCATGTTTGGATTAGAACTTGGTATTATGACACTTTATGCAACTTCCTTGCGTTGATAAATGTCAGACATTGTTATATTCAATTTTTTTAAAAAAAATTTAAGGTCACAGAGTCTTCTTTCATGAATAAGCAAGCTATATAAATCTATCATTTTGTTGTTCTTGCTGCTGTTACTGATAGAATCTAACATTTTCTAGACGGGCGCAACGTCAATTATATCATGTTTAGCTGGAATACACAGGTTTTGAGTCAAATAAAAATATTTGAAGGAAACCTTCATATGGGAGTTACTGAGAGGACAATTTGGTTTTCTGGCTGCAAGAACACTTTCTGCTGTTGTATAAACCCCTTGCTGTAAAAAGACTTGTTTTATTTATTTGGAGGCATCAGGATACAAAGAAGCTTTCTCTTACCTTGTTGAAAACATGAGCTGTCTAATTTGTAAGAAATAATTTATAAATTGATCATAGCCTTTTTCCTCTTATGAGTGCCACATAATGGATTTGACTCAACCTTTAAAAAGGAGATTTAATTAAAGCTGGAATTGTCATCACAATTTCCTGAAACTGAGCACTACTGAACACAGCATGACTTACTGCTGAATAAATATTGATAGTGTATGTATATGCTTTAAAGCATGGGACCAAGTGTATTCTCATGTCTGTTACAACTTATTGTTCTTAAATGGTAAAATTCCCATTAAATAGCCAGCATGCACTTGCTTTAAATAAATGGAAGCTACATAATACATGTTGCCTTGAATCATTGAAGCAAACCAGTTCAAGAGTGTCTTCTTGACCAAAAAAAAAAAAAAGAGTTGTGCCACTCCAAGATGAATCAATCCAGTCAGCTGTTTCATTCCACTTAGCCATCCTAATCCAACACTTGGAAGCACATTTTTGATCCATGGTATTGCTTCACTGAAGCAAAGTGCCCCCAAATATCTCTTCAGCCCTAGTTTTTACTATTGTGCACCAAATTTGTCTATCCTCATGGTTTTACTCTTCACACATATTTTATTAAAATAATCATCTAACAATGGTTTTCCTGATCTTCATTGCTTCAGGTGGATTATCTTTTATTAAATTTGCTTGTCACTTTATTATTTTTAAAATCCTGTCATTTCTTAACTACTTTAAAAATCATGGGCGGGGGGGAGAAGGTGACAGTGATGTTGCAAAGGCAGCTAATTAGTGCATGCCTGGCTTCTGCTGGAAATTAGCCAAGCTGGTTTCTCCTGATCTGGATTCTTCTGGGTAGGTTTGACTGACCTTGATCGCTCAAATTACATATGTCCATCCATATCTATATTACTGTAGATGTTTAGATCGTTTTATATTTTTATATTATAGGAAGGGCATGGCTAAATCTTGGCGGGGGGAGGTTCATGTATACAAATTTTGAATCTGACATCCTAATGTTAGTCTTTTCCCATCCATCCTTTCCAAATATGCTTTTTTTTCATAATACCGTCAACATGAAAATTCTGGTAAAACCAAGAATTTTGGTGTTGCTGTTTCCAGAGCAAACCCACTGTTATTCAATAGGAATACTTCAGAAGTACAGAACACAGAATATGACTTAAAACTACAAATTTTTTAATAATCATTAAAAGGTAATTATAATGTTTTATCTGATTCACAGGAGATGTAGTAAGAATGATTTGTCTAAATATATTGGAAGACTGCTATCATCAAATTCAAATGTGTCTCTATCCTCCTAACCCTAACCCTAAAGGTTACTCTGGACCTTTGAAGACAATTCCTCCTGAGAAGTTCAATACTACATCTGTGCCAAAATACTATCAATCACCTTGGATTGAAGCCATCCGTAATGACCCTGAGCTGCTGGAAGCTTTGTATCCTAAATTGTTTAAGCCAGAAGCAATACCAGAACTACCTAACTTTAAGAGCTTTAACAGGTAATTTTAAACAATCATCAGATTTTATCAAAAGTGGAAAAGAATAACATAAAGAAGATTATTGTGGGTTTTAAGACATGAATATAAGAAAATTTACAAAAGGATTGCAATTGTCTGTGTTCCTTTAGATAGATTCATCAGAAACTTTGAGCCATATGAACAGTGGTTTCTAGTGAACCTAAGAAGAGCCCTGCTGGATCACTAGGGGCTGTTCCATGCCATACCATGGCCAAGCAACTGCTTGTAGGGACCTGACAAGCATGGCTAGGAGGGCAACAGAGATGGGAAAAAAGGAATTTAACTCAACCACCCAGAGTCATTGGGAATTGGGCAGCATATAAATTTACTTACTTCTAATTCACATTTGAATGCAAACTGATCTAATTTTGTGTTTTCAACCCAGCACATGAACTGAAACTTAGTTTCCATTCAAAACTTTATTTCAAAGCTTGCAGTATAGTTAACTGTATTTTTTAAAAAAAACATAAAGTACAGAAATGCTTCTCAAGTATTCATGAAAATAATTATAAAAGATATTAAGGAATTATTGCAAAAACTATTAATATAAGGTAAGATTGCGCCTGAAATATGTGTATTTGGAGAAATAGGCATCAAAGTACCGTATTTTTCTGACTATAAGACGATACTTTTTTCTAAAATCCTTACCCTAAAAATCCCCCATGTACAAGACTACCCCCACTTTTAATAAAAATGTGTTCTGCACTATCTTTAAAATATTGATTTCTTAATTTTGGGTTGGAAAAGTGGGGGTAGTCTTGTACATGGGGAATAAAAATGTGTTCTGCACTATCTTTAAAATATTGATTTCTTAATTTTGGGTTGGAAAAGTGGGGGTAGTCTTGTACATGGGGAATAAAAATGTGTTCTGCACTATCTTTAAAATATTGATTTCTTAATTTTGGGTTGGAAAAGTGGGGGTAGTCTTGTACATGGGGAATAAAAATGTGTTCTGCACTATCTTTAAAATATTGATTTCTTAATTTTGGGTTGGAAAAGTGGGGGTAGTCTTGTACATGGGGGCGTCTTATTGACGGAAAAATATGGTATATATAAGTTTCAATACAAGGAGAAATTGAGAGAACTCGAAACTGACATATATAGTACACCCTTTTTTAGGTATATAGGGAATCCTCACTAACTGACCACCTGTTCAAAGTTACAATAGTGCTGAAAAAGGAGGTTTGCAACCAATCCTCAAAGTTGCAGCTGTCGCAGCATCCCCACAGTCATATGATCATGATTCGGGCATTTGGCAACTGGTGTCCATTTACGACAGTTGCAGCATCCCACAGTCATGTGATCACCATTTGCGACCTTCACAACTGGCTTCCAACAAACAAGATCAATGGGGAAACTGGCAGGAAGTTGCAAGTCATGGTCACGTGACATCGCCCTTAACAACTGCAGGTGATTTGCTTCATGATGACAGCTGGAACTAATGTAAGTTGGCGTGGTCACGTGATGTTTCACTTTATTACCACGTTGCTTAGCGACAGAGTTGCTGGTCCCAACTGTGGTTGGTAAATGAGGATTACCTGTAATGCCTTATATACATATCTCAAGTGCCAAATGCTAGGGAGCAACAATGGAAAAGAGAAATAGACTTCTTCCACTATTTCTCCCTAGAAGTTATTATTTATGATGCTGCCTGTGATTTATGAGGTAGTTTACTGCTGTCAAGACTACTAACTAGTAAATGACCTCATCTTGCAGGATTTTTTTCAGTTTTTTAAAGCTGTCTAAATTGGTGATCTTCATCACATCTGATGTCAGTTAATTCTATACTTAAATTATTTCCTATTTATTGTGTAAAAAAATATTTCCTTTACAAACAACCCCAGGAAGAAACACAACATTTCAGTCTTGCCCATATGACATGATCCCCTTTTGACTTTATATCACTACCATGATTCCCACCGCAGCCTTCACCATCCACATGTTAATCTCCACACATTTCGTTTCAATGAATGATCCAAATTCTAATCATATCCCCATTTTCTGTACTTGGGTAATTTTATATACTTCTATCACATCATTGCTTATCCAATTCGCCTATGAACCAAATCCTTCAATTGCTGTAGTAATGAACTGCTGCTCATAACTATTTTGGTCACATCCTTTTTTCATATTTTCCCATTCTGTAGTGGGAATGTTTCTCCATGATATGAACAGAAATGTACACAGTGTTATAACTGAAGCCTCACTATATATTTATATAAAGGTATTCCTATATTCCACAGTTGGCCCTAACATAGGCTAAACATACCCTTTGCTTTTTTTAAAAAAAAAAAATCACCCCCCATCATTTTAATGGAATAGTTAATCCATTGATGGTGAACCTATGACACATGTGTCAAAGGTGACACGCTATGATGTTCTGGGTGAGTGTTCACCTATATCTGACAACAACTGTTCTCCCTGTTTGAGTTACCAAAGAAACTGAGTTTTTTTAACTCATACTGCTGTAC